GAAAAAGCTGCAGACGTGTCACCAAAACATGCGCAGTGTTAGGACGCCTGGGCGACCCGAGTTATATTTAGTACTCCTGGTGTTTAGTTCTTCGTTGTGCTTTGTATCTCGTCGGCTCAGTTATGTTTACACGTCTGTTCTTTCCCCGTCTCATCTGTGCCCGTCTGCGTCTCAGCGTATGTTGCCGTTACTTCCTGTTTTACTTTGGTAGTTTCCTGTCGGTGTGTGTTCTGTTTTGCTTCTCCCCTGTGTCGGCTGTGCGATTAGTTTCCCTCCTGAGCTTCATTCCCTCGTCTTGCATTTACTGTCTGTGTTTTTGTCTGTTCGCTGTGTTCTCCCTCATCCCTCGCTGCGTTTCGCCTGTTTTTCTATCTTGTTTACTTTAATGTATATTTCCAGTTTAGTTTTGTATTTCCTAGCTTCCAGCAATAAGGTCGAGAGTTTTGAGTCCATCTTTGCCTCTGCGAGTCTGCATTTGGGCTCCTTGCTACCAGCCACACACAGCAAACCTGACAGTGAGACACACTTAAAAGAAGCAGATGATTCTCTGGCGTTGTGAGGGAGAAACACTGTGAGTTTTACTTCATCTGATACTGTAGATACATGTTTGGTATTAGCCGTTTACTTTGCAGCTTGATGTAATCCTCTGTACTTCAACTGATGAAGGTTTCTCGTTCCTAGACTATGACGCTGACGTGCCCGTGTCTTCTCCACTTGCATGGACATGGCTCGCATACTGACAGTTTAAAGGGGAAAACATACTAAAAGCAATTTCAACACTTGGACTCAACCTCAGATATGCTGTCTGCTTAATTTACTGTGGAATTACAAGGAAATGTAACTGCTTGGCAGTCAATTATCCAATTATATTGGAGCATCTGAAACTATTAAATGTAGGTATAGAATGAATGAACATGACGCCACAGGGGAAGCAAAACTTAACACACCGAACATGGAAACAAGACTTTCAAAAGAAAACAGGAAACGTAATGGAGCGTAGGCTTGACCATTAGAACATGGAGCACGCAGACATTAAATCTCTGAGCGGACATGGAACACAGGAGCTGTGTCCCAAAACGTCGGCTGCATCCTTCGGAGGACCCGGCCCACGTAGACCGCGAAGCCCGGGTCCTCCGAAGACCGAGAAGGCCGGAAGTGCGAGGCTGTGAAATGGGACGGTCTAGCCTTCAGATTAGCGTCACCGCTGTCTCAGTGGAGTTTAATAAACTCGGCCGTCTGCTCCTTGCTGTCTAAAATATAACAGGACACTGGCGTAAACTCTCGACCGTCTCACACTTCTGTTTTAATCAGTTTTCTGTTTGACGTTTATTCAGCTGTATGAAAATCCCAGAGGAACCCACCTGATGGATTAATAAAGTTTTATTTAATCTAATAATCTAATAACTTTAATCTCAGCCAAACTGATTTACTCCAGAACAAATAAAACACAGAAAAAGGCAAACAATTAAATTTTTAAGTTATCCGAGTGACTTATATATCATGTTTAACCTGAGTAGCGAAAGAGCGGGGGTCTGAAAACGACGAAGCCGGGAGTCCGCTGCTCTCGCCGGCTGGAGTGACCATTGAACCCCCGGCTTGCTATCGAGCTGGTGGGTAACAGACGTCTCCAAAAACGTCAGCGCACTTTTGCAAATATGCGGTGTCTTGATAAACCGAGCAGATATTTCAAGTTTACACAGCTACTTTCTCACCTGAAAATATGTTAAAAGTTTATTTTGTGGCCCAGAAAGATTAATAAGACTAATTTTAAAACTTAGTAGCAGCCGCCATTGTTGGCAGCTGAAATTTGGCTGGGCCGCGCTATGAATTCTGGGATATGGTGTGCCACGAAGGACACACCCGACCCATCCTTCAAATTCGGGGAAATGAAGGACGCATTTGTCGGCCGCATTTGAATGAGTCGACGAATTGGGACAGCCTTCGTCGCCTGGCTGTGACGTAATCGGCCTTCAAATGCAGCCTCCGGAGGATGCAGCCGACGTTTTGGGACACAGCTACGGAGAGACTAAAGCACTGGCGTGACTGAAAGTAGAACATGGAGGACAGGAAAAGACTCAGGAGACAGAAGAAACAAACTAGACTAAAACTCAACCAAGACAAACTAATAATAATAGCAGAACTTCACATATTTCAATATAACATAAGAAATCAAAAATACAAAATACACTGAAAATGCTGGGTTGCAGACCCATCCTGACAGAAAAGCAAGACAAAAAGTTAAAAGTGATTTACAGTAAAGTAAAATGATTCACAGACGTCTTATCTGTGAAATTATGAGTAAATATGGGGGGAAACACTTAGCTTGATTTATACCTGTTGACAATTCCACAAAACTGTTTTGAGACAGCTCTTGAAAGCTGAGATATTTCTAAATCTAAATTTCAAATTAGCTGTCACCTCAAATCTCAGCCATTCTAGAGTTGAGATGGATCCATACAGCTTCTTCTCAGTAAGCCCCCCTTTGTCACTGTGTTCGCTGCCTTGACAGACCCAATATAAGGAGCAAAATGTGGTGGCATTATATGTGCTGTCAGGAGCATACCCCTTTCTACATCACGACACAGGTTGGAGTTCTGAGGCAAACATCCACCCAACAAGTTATTAGCATTTTTTTATTTGTGTACTTTTTTAAACAATTAGAACCGACGTTGTGCAGCGAACGCCACTAAACTTTTACATAAATAAATGTGTGCAGCACTACTTTCTTTTCGTACTTTAAATTTCAGCTTCTCCAAGGTAAGCACGAAGAAAAGACTCGGCACACTTATTGTTGCAATGACCTGTATTACTGTGGGTCATCCTTCCACCGGTGTAAACAAGACTGTTATTTATCTCTTCACGTTCTCTCCTTCCTCTGTTCTAAGCCAATTAGAGCTCTTACTCGCCGCTATCAACCCGACCCAAGCTTGTCATAATTGCAGCGATAAGCCTCGCACTCCTCCCTCTCTCCCATCCGCTCTGTTTTCCATCTCATTAACATTCATTTTCACCCTAATTGAGCTTAATAAGAAAATAATGTTTGACATTAAATCCTTGTGAACATGTGCCCCAGCTGATCACTGCGTCTGTTTGTTCTTTCACAGCAAATATTTTACTTTGTCAGGGGTTTGTTTGCTTGCCTTGCTCGGCTGTGCGCCTGCTGTAACAGCCTACTTAGAATTCCCACTTTCCATTTGCTTTGCGCTGACCTCTTGCCGTCGTTATGCTGAAGTTAGACTCTACTTTCCTTAAACGTCTTCATCAAGTTTTGCTTAGTTTGGACTTTTGCTTGCAACAGTGGCTGCATCCATAAATTCCCAAGATAAAGCATCCAAAACACTGACCACTGCATTTAGACACTGTGCCAGTCAACTTCATCGATTTTATTTTTCTCAAAGCCTGTGGCAATACTTTTTTGATATACTGTGACCTTGTGGGTGGGTACAGCATTTTTTCCCAAAGTAATCAATGATCATTATACAGCCAAATAGAAAAGAAGACTGGGAGAAGGAAGCTGAAGCATGAGGTGTGTTCAATACAACCCTGGTTGTCTGTACAACAAAACATTGATTGTATTCCTTATATTGCTAACAATGATGGTTAAATAACAGTTCACACCTCATATATACTGGATAGTTTACCAGAGGACATGTATTGAACAGCAATAAGCTGCAGAGACATGAGATTGAGATAAAAAGTCATGTATATGAGGAGATTTACTCTGAGGAGAGAAAATCAACCACTTTCCAGACGTAGCTGAATGGAGCTTCATCATGTCTATTGATGGAGAACAGCTTTAGCGTAAATATCACTTCAAAAACTAACAAACAAACAATCAAAACGGCTGATTTACCTTTGAAATTATAGATTTTTTTTTGCCACTTGGTGGAAGCAGAACATATACAGTACTGTGCAAAAGTTTTAGGTAGGTGTGGAAAAAATGCTGTAAACAAAGAGAGCTTTCAGAAATATAAACGATTGGTTATTGGCCCCAAATGTATTCTGCAGCAGGACAACGACCCAAACACACAGCCAACGTCATTAAGTGCTATCCTCAGCATGAAGAAGAACAAGAAGTCCTGGAAGTGATGGTACGACCCCCACAGAGCCCTGATCTCAACATCATCGTGTGTCTGGGATCAGAGACAGAAATCAGGATGTGAGCAAGCCGACATCCACAGAAGATCTGTGCTTAGTTCTCCAAGATGTTTGGAACGACCTACCAGCCGAGCTCCTTCAAAAACTGTCTAGAAGAAGGCAAAGAGTGGTCGCACCAAACATTGATGTGATTTAGATTCTCTTTTGTTCCTCCTCTGCATTGTTGATTGATGATAATAAACGATTAACACTTCCATTCATGAAAGCTTTCTGTGTTTACAGCATTTTCCCCTCACCTGCCTAAACCTTTGCACAGGGCTATATATGTGTATAGTTTGCAAAGGTTATTTGGGATTTCTAAATTAAAAGTAACTTATATTTGACACTTTCAGTTCAGATCTAGTTCAGGGCCCTATTTCAGGAAGCCGGTTTAGAAAACTCAGAGTGAAAAACGATACTCAGGGTTGAGTAACCCCGAACTGTCCAACTCGGAATATTCGGTTTCAGAAAGGCTGATAACAAGTAGTTCAGTCAACGCGGAGTTGCTTTAACCCCAAGTGAGGCGCGCACACGAGGATACATAAAGCCCTGATTAGTGGAGCACAGATTAAGCGAGTCACCATGGAGACGGAGGGAAAGAAGGCGCGGTCAATGTATTTTACAGCGCTTGAGGCTGAAATTCTGATGGCAGCATATGCCGATAACATGCAAATTTTGCAGAAAAAAAGGTAACACAGCCTCAGCTGCAAAAGAAAGGGAGCATGCATGGCAAAACATAGCCGACAGAGTCAATGCGTGAGTGTTAATTTAAACATTGATCTAAGGATTTCCACCCATTTAACACGTTAGTTTATTATATGTTATTTTATTTTATATGTTATACATATAAAATAAAATTTGCAGGCACTGGAACCGGGCCTTAAGCATTCCGATAGTCATTTCAATTCTGGCTCTTGTCCTGCATTTAGCCAGATTATATCGCTGCTGTGGGCCCGGTTCAGGGTCAGGGTAAGGGGTAAGCAAATAGGGTAAACATGGATACCCCCTATCACCAAGCAAGTAGCCAGTGAACTCTCCTAAGACAGAAGGATACACTTCAGTTCAAATGTCCCTGAAGCAATTGGTCTTTATATATTTTAAAGTATTCTCAACTCACCATGTCCAAATTTTGTGCTCAGTGTACATTCACGGAATATTTGTGAGTCATGGACAGAGCCTGGCCACTTGGCTTCCACATTTGTGATAATGTTGGCAGCATCACATATGATCTTCACAGTGCAGAGAACACAAATTAGCATCCATTACTATAATGAAATAATTTGTTAGTTTGAAATGCTACAGGGAACTATGTACCTGTACATTAATGCTGTGGAAAGACTTCCTGTTCACATAGTCTCCTTCATTTACTGAAGGAGCAATGATTGGAATGTGAGTGCCATCTATACACGCCTGGGAACCCTGAAAATAAATGTAGAATTTAAGTAGTAGTCCAAGTATCACCACATCATAAATTAAGTTTCGTTCATCCTGATACCTGCAATTTTGTGGCATCCCTCTTTGATAAATCTTGTGGGTCTGTGACCGGGGAACACCACAAACGAGTACAGGAGACGTTTAGTGCAACTGTAACATTCCTGACTGCCCGACAGACGGTAGCCTTGGAAACGTGCTCAGCGTCACCAATATTATACAGAAAGCTCCCGTTTGCAAAAAACCGAAGTGCAATACAAATAATATGTAATGAACTGAGAGGATGTCCGCGATGTGTCACATGAGTAATATATGGCCTGAGGATGTTATTCAAATAACTTATAGATTGTGCTGAGAAACGGTAACGTTCACACAGGAAATCATCAGGAAATGATAAAATGTCCAAACGCGCTCTGATCACTCTCTCCCGGCGGAGAGCTCTGCGGAGAATTTGGGCTTCACGATCTACTGGCTCTTCAAGGACGGGGCACGCCATGTCCGACACTTCCTACTGTCAGGTTTCCGGCAAAGGGGCGGAGACAGTCAGGGTTAGTTGTAGTAAACCTGCTAGGGGGCAGGTTAGCTTCACGGAGTGTGTCGTCATAGTGACTCACTCAGGCTTCAGCTGAACTCGCTTTGTGAAACCGAAAACCCAGAGTTTTCGTTAACTCAGGGTGTACTTACTCAGTTTTTCCACTAAACCGGCTTCCTGAAATAGGGCCCAGGTGTTTAATATGGCCATCATATTACTCCCCGTCGTTCTGTTTGGGTACACATAATAAGAAATATGCTTGTATACTAATCCAAAGCACTGAAAGGTAAAGTGTTAGTCCTGTAGTTGTAACTCCAGGCTAGCAACCCCTTTCAAATAAAATTAATCACGTGAATCATGTGAAGCAACATTAATTCCAACATATTAAAAACAGCAGATATAATATATAGATTCATTTTACATATGAAATGGTTTCCATTTGTTCGCTTTACTTTGCCTATAAAATGTATTTGGAGAAATCGTGATTTTAATCTACCGCTGAATATTTCATGTTTCATTCCCATGAAGCCATTAGCTACAATGGGAAAGGCGACACCCTTAATGAATGTGACTAGGAGAGACTGTGACAGCCAGCGGGGACTACAAAAGTCTTCAGCACTGGACAAGTGATAATAAAACCAGACTGAATTTAATAGCAGACTCTTGTACTGTACAAATGTACTTGTTTTAAAATCTCCTCATTACAACAAAATAAATGAAAGCAAGTTATGATGTAGACTTGGCTGGAAAAACAACAGGAAGAGGAAATGTGTGTGCTCAGGCGCGTGTGCTGATGCCCAGCCTGACTCAGTCTTGGCTTCAGCTATAACAATTATCAAGCTGGAAATAACAATCATTAGTGATGACCCAGATGCAATGAAAGGCAGAATTTATATTAGAGGCTTTTTCACTTCTAGAATTTGAAATAATGACATATTAGACTGGATCAGGTTTTTATTATCACTAAGATATTAAACCATTGACGGACGTTTTCAATTAGATTTTTGACCATATTATGACACTGTGAATGCAAAGGTAGCGTTTGGTAGGTTGGAAAATATTCATTTTGGGTCAGCAGTCAGGTACATACTGTTAGGATGGCTTTAACCACACCTAATGTAGTTGGAGTGGTTAAAGCCGTCCTTAATCTGCTCTGTGGGTAAGAGCTCTCTGACTCTAAGGGTCTGCAAATTAACCAAGCAGAAACCTCTGAACCGAATGAAGCGCCAAGAACTGCAGTTCTAGAAAGAAAACTTAAAACTATCTGTAAAAGTATTTAAAACAAATTAAAACAAAGTTTCCTCCTTTTAATGAGCTGCACAGGAATGGGATTTTTGAATATCTGCTTTTTATCATTTTGTTTTATTTTGCTTTGCCGATAACTAAAGATAGGTGTGCACACTCCAGCACTTCAACTTCGTTCCCCAATGTAACAATTTCTGACCGAAACAAAATAAAAAATAACACAACACAACAAAGTACTACTGTTGGGACTTCTTCTAGGTGTGGACGCCTGAAACCAGCGGTGACTACAGAGGTCTATAAACCAAAGCCATGACTTGATGATGGTACAGCACGTTAAGTCTCAGCCCTACATGTCTGTAGATTATAGATTACAGTCACATGATCTCTGTTTTCTTGCACCTCCCAATTCAATTGCATAAACAACTAAACAAGACACTCAACTCTGTCACCTGTAGCGCCTGCAGGCTGCCGTTTACCTCAGCTTTGTGCAAGGAGCTTGATGGAGTCGATGGAGTCGGTGGAGTGATAATGAGGTGAGCTGAGGGAATCCTGCTCCTTTCCATCTGTGAGCGCTGTTGTTCGCTGGCGTCGGTGAAACTTTCTTTGAAGCAGATCTAACTTTGTTGGACTTGCACACTTTGCAATGAAACTTATACGATGTGAGAATGTAATCAAACTGCTCGTCAGAGGGAAAGTTTGATTTTTAAGACGTTTAATCATTAACTGGTGTAATGTTAGCTTAGAGAGCAGTGCAGAGGAGGAGGACACGATGAGAAAGATGATGAGGAAAATGTGCGTGGGCAAATCACATATGTCATTTGAAAGAGCTATTAGTGATCTTTACATTAAAAGTAACTTGTAAGTGTTACTATAGCCAAATACATAAACACAGATATGCAGAGCAACGATGTCCATCTCAGCCATTGGTTACAAGATGGCAGGGTAACAACAACCAGTGTATTTTTAATTTTACGTTTAGAAGAATGAATCAATTTTCTAGAAGAAACCATCACACACTAATCAATAATATGTACAGTATCATTTTTTCTATTAAATAACCTCAAAGATTTACCTTTAAAGCTTCTTTATAAAGTCATGAAGAAGCAGCATCTACGTTGAGGCAAGAAAATCACTCAAGGCTGCTTTTGGAAAAACACTTTCTTAATAACACTAAGATCACAGTTTCCTGCTTAATAAATCAGATTTTCTAATAGCGTGTGAATACTGTCCACAGATAACTTCAGCTCCTCTATTAAAAAGCGACACTAATTATTAAACAGTGTTTGAATGTGGTGCTGACTCCACATCTTCATACTTTAAAAAAATACATCATTTTTATTCATGAAAATGTAAGGCCTTCCCATTTCCCATACTTTCTGTTACCGTCTCATCTGAGTCCTTCACATTAGTCACCGTGCCATCACGTGTCTCTGCTGAGCGTCTCCATACTGAATACAATACCATTTTCTTTTAATGGAAAATGTCCCTGGATATTTATTCGCTGCTCTGCTTCTTCTTTTCAACACAGTTTCTGTCGTCTTCCACAGAGTTTAATGTACAAACTTTTGTTGGACCCAAAAACTTTATTTCACTGAGCTATTAAATCAAAAACTGTAAGTTAAGAGAGGTTGTTTTAAAGCTGCTGCTTTGTGGGTTTTTGTACAGTGACACATATTTGGTCATTTTGCCTCTGTACACCACCACTACTATTTAAAAAAAAAGTATTGCATTCACCGACACTTATATTTATTCACAGCGCTCAATTACAGTGGAAACCATGTGGAGTGGTAAAGCTAACAATCTGGTATGTTCCTAAATGCATAAATAGAGCAGATACCTCAGCAACACCAGAACACCTGAAAGGCTTGATGGTCAAACGACTTCCCTGAAAACAACTTCATAACATCGAGTCTCAAACATTCCCAAGGAGGAAGCTGCATCGTCGTCACAGTCTACAACAACAAGGCATCAGCATGACTGTCAATAACAGATACATGCAGGCACAAACCACTGGTTACACTCAAGAACATCTGAAAGACACGAAACCAAGACTTAAATAATGAAAAGTATAGAGAAGGAGAAAAACCTGTCAAACATGGTGGAGGAAATGTTGTGGAATAGGCATGGACTCTAAGTCTGTCAGTGGAACCGGGCCACTAGTGTTTAATGATGTGACTGCTGAGTGTAAAGGGCTACACGCTCAGATTCTGTCAAACGCTACGAAACTGATCAGACTGAGTGTCACAATGAAAAGAGATAAGGACTCAAAGCTCAGTGCAAAAGAGTTTCTCAGTGGCTGGATCGGGCACCTGAAGAAAAACCCGAAGACGCACAAACAAAGAAAGGTGGCACAATGTTTCCAGAGAGAAAACACAGCATTTGGTGATGTCCATGGATTCTGGACTGCAATGGATTTTCATTCAAGCACAAAAAACAACACTAATGTTTAAAATGATGTCAGTTTGTCTAAGCTGGTGAAAGTGGGCTTAAAATCCCCGTTCAAAGACAGATGTTGTGCAGCTTTTCCTCTTTTAAACATTCAGACACATTTGGTCGCATCAGAATAATGCAAATAAAAATAAAACATGCAGGGTCGTCCACTTGACAGTTGCACCCAGACAAAGAGCTTTTTAACCATAAAACCCTTGCAGTGAAGGTAACTGGAGGTCCCTGTGGGATGTGCGCAGGGACAGACAGGGGTAACAAAGGCCCAGGCAGCAGCAGATTTGTGTGTCTTTAGAGACCTGCAAGGAAGCCACAGGGAGCAGTGCAGCGCCAAAGCTGGCAGCTGACTGACACCCCTGTCACAGTGCCAAAAGCAGACTGGGTGAGAGTCCCTCGGAAATTCTGGAAACAGAGACGGCTACGTGCAAACTTCTCCTTCCACACGGTCGCCTACGGAAACCGTGTTACAACTTGTTGACTTTGTGGCATGTTGGCCAAGGCTCAAGTAAAGTGTGAATATAATATGGGAAAACATGAAAGACGGGGTTGTGGAGGATTTATACGAAAAAAGAAGAGTTCTCAGGGACGGGCTGGAGGCTATCCTCGCTGTCACAGGGTGAGGGATGCTGTACACCCTGGGCAGATCCCAGTCTACTCCAGGGCACAAGCAAGAGTTCGATAATGACAACAAATGAGACAGAAAAGTAATCTCATATAAATATAAAAACTGATATCATCATCTTTATTTTGTTTGGATCATCTTTCGAAGCCAAACTGAAAATACAATTCAACCCGGCCAGCACTAATGTCACCACTAACAAGCAGAGTCAATAACATTGATTATTTTGACACAGCAGCACTTGCCAAAGCGGTAAAATATAGAAAGTAACAAGCAAGCAGCCAGTTCTTGGAATGAATGTGTTGAAAGCAGAAAGAATGGATGAGCACACGTATCACAGAAAACGGCTCAAATCTGGATGGCTAGCAAACGCCAAAAACACAAGTCTCATAAAGTCTTACGGCGATTTAAATCAAACTCTGGTCCATTTTCCCTCCTTGGTGTGATTCGCTTGTGCAGATGTGAACACAGGAGTCGCACTGAGGTGGCTCAGGAGAAAACGTTGGTGGTTTGATTCCTGGCTGCTAATCTGCATGCTAAATATCCCACGTTGCTTGTGGTGCATCAAACCAGTGCAGAACCAACTAGCAGTTGTATCTTACAAGGTTGAGCTAAAAACCTTCCTGTAGCCACGGATACTTTGGATTCTGGGATGCAGCAAGGTGCTATAGATGTGAAGCAGTCTGTACAAGCCAGCAGCTAGCCATGCTCTGCTAAAGTCAGGATGACAGCATCTTCTTCCTGTACTGTTGATCGGCCGCAGACACATATGTGGACTGGACGTTCTTGTGTTGTTTGTAGCAAAGCATTTTTGTTCGTTTGGTGTTT